AAAAAAAAGGATCATGTCAGTACTCAATTGTTTCTGTTGCAAGTGCACTAATACGGCTACAATCACCTCTAGTAAATCATCATCCCCAATGTGACATAAGCCCCCGGTCACATCGGGTGCGATTTTCATGCCAGACAACTTGCAAATCGTATGCCAAGAAGCACCCTATTGTCCGCTATTAGAGCGGTCATATTTGTCCGACTCCGCCTTGGTTGGAGCCTCACCGATTTCAAAAGTAGTGCATGTACTACTTTTGTTGGTGTTTGCATAGAGATCTGTGTGAGATGTCTTGCAAATCACAAGGAAATCGGCAGGTTACCCGATTTTGAAATCGTGCGACTTCACTGTAAGTCGCACAATTTCAAAATCGGGTTTGATGTTACCGCCAATGGGGGTGTAAATTGTGAAAGTGTTTTTGTTGGAGATATTCCATGCTGTTGTGTATGACCTTTAGTCAGAAACTCTTTTTCTCTTCCTGATGCATTTACATGAAGTTTAGCCTCAGCATGAGGAGTAACTCATACAAGGCTGTTAATGTCAATACAAGGCCATATGGATTTTCAGTTGTTAAAATCAATCAGAAACTAGGTATTGTAGCATGACCTTTTCTGACATTATATTGACCGCTGTTTAAACTAAGACAAATGTGTGTGTCAGGTGCTTCCTTTGATGTGCCATGCTATCTAGGATGAGCGTTCTCAAAGACAGTGTGCATTGCATGAGAAATATATAGATGACAAATAAAATGCCTCATTTAACTCTTTTAATGTCTGAAGTATTACTTTTATATTGTATATCAAGGAAAGTAAAGGTTAAATATTTGACCAGGTCACTTTAATAGGCCATTTATAGCTATTAACATGACATTAAATGATAGCAGTTTGCTTCTTCCTTATGTTTAAACAGATGCACTGTTCACACCATTTTTAGACTTACACATTTTCCATTGGAATCAAGCGGCAACAGAAGCGCACAAAACCGTGTGTGTTGACATGCGTTTGTATATTTTTAACACATACTGCAATACTTTGTGTTTGCAAGACCACATGTGAAATAAAGAGTCAACTCACGTCAACACACTACAATTACATTTTTTTTAGTATCAATCAAAAATGTCTTCTAGATAAATGTATTTCTGCCTTGTAACTAATGTTATCTTTCTAAACCTGCTATAATCCTATTGCAAAAAAAAATGCATAAAAATAAAAATACCTTGAAAGTTATGAGTGGACTAATGGCTTTATTAAAATTAAAGGCTATAAATGCTGTTTTTTTCTTAATATTTATATTTGGGGTGTTCCAACCTATACAGTAAGGTAATAGTCAGGAATTTAGCACATTGCACTGATAGAAAAAGGATTGATTATATTTTGATTAATGCAGTTATTTTCTTTCTCGTTCACTGAGGGATACCTAGTTCTGGCATAATTGGGTTATATTATCACATATAAGAGTGTTTGGACACTGACAAGCAAAAGAACAGAGAACAGCCTGGTATAACCCCTCCCACTCCTAGTATGCTTGGCGTTTTGCTATTGTCCTGGTAGGATGAACATCTTTTCTCTACTGAAAATAGATTAACCTTTTAGGTAGCCTCTTTCCTTTTTTTTCAGGATTTTTTAAATCAATACTTCTTCTACAAGCTGCTTGAGCTGGTCTTTCTCATGCTGCTATCTGAATCAGCTTACCCTCAGCAAAAGCTTTGGAAGCTGTACTCAGACCCTGTTGGACTGTATGGTTGTAAGGCCTGGCAGTAATGAGTTCCGCATTGTTGCATTATCCAGACCTTTGTATAATGCATTAGCTGCTTATCGCTTTTCGAGGTCCAGAGTCAAGGCACAGCCTCTGATGTGACCCTGCCTCTGAAGGCCCATATATAGGCCATGTGGTCTTAGCACGTCAACACACTACAATGTATCAATCAGTATTTAGATAAATTGTTTTCTGCCCTTGTAACTGGGAGCTACATTGGAAGCTTGTATTAGAACCGTTGGGTTCAATTGTTATCCCTGTTTTTCCATTGGTTTTCCACAAAAGGGTTATAATGCTGAGGGATTGAGTGCTGTGTCACTAGGTAAAGTGTTGCCTGTGCACCCACCATGTTCTTGTTCTTCCCATTCCATTCCAACGTGTGCAGATAACGCAAAAACAGGTCTGGCAGCGAAATAGATAAAGGATAAGTCAGACACTTCCCTTTCCTGACGAGCAGCCAATCGGTGCTCACTACACTGCAGGGTCTCTCCCCTCCCTGCTAGTCCCCGGTGCAGTGCCGGAGAGAGGTGGGGGGGAGGAGATGAACAGCGCAATGTTAAAAATATTAAACGTTTAAGTCGCCATAAAGCCCCTTTTGTTTTTAAAAGCCCCAGACATACTGCATTTATACCCTGCATGCTCCTCTCCTGCATGTACTGCATCTGTACCCTGCACGCTCCTCTCCTGCACGTACTGCATCTGTACCCTGCGCGCTCCTCTCCTGCACGTACTGCATCTGTACCCCGCACGCTCCTCTCCTGCATGTACTGCATCTGTACCCTGCACGCTCCTCTCCTGCACGTACTGCATCTATACCCTGCACGCTCTCCTCTCCTGCACGTACTGCATCTGTACCCCGCACGCTCCTCTCCTGCACGTACTGCATCTGTACCCCCCGCTCCTCCTCTCCTGCACGTACTTCATCTGTACCCCGCACGCTCCTCTCCTGCACGTACTTCATCTGTACCCCGCACGCTCCTCTCCTGCACGTACTTCATCTGTACCCCGCACGCTCCTCTCCTGCACGTACTTCATCTGTACCCCGCACGCTCCTCTCCTGCACGTACTGCATCTGTACCCCACACGCTCCTCTCCTGCACGTACTGCATCTGTACCCCCGCACGCTCCTCTCCTGCACGTACTGCATCTATGCCCTGCACGCTCCTCTCCTGCACGTACTGCATCTGTACCCTGCACGCTCCTCTCCTGCACGTACTGCATCTGTACCCTGCACGCTCCTCTCCTGCACGTACTGCATCTGTACCCTGCACGCTCCTCTCCTCCACGTATTGCATCTGTACCCTGCACGCTCCTCTCCTGCACGTACTGCATCTGTACCCTGCACGCTCCTCTCCTGCACGTACTGCATCTGTACCCTGCACGCTCCTCTCCTGCACGTACTGCATCTGTACCCTGCACGCTCCTCTCCTCCACGTATTGCATCTGTACCCTGCACGCTCCTCTCCTGCACGTACTGCATCTGTACCCTGCACGCTCCTCTCCTGCACGTACTGCATCTATACCCTGCACGCTCCTCTCCTGCACGTACTGCATCTATACCCTGCACGCTCCTCTCCTGCACGTACTGCATCTATACCCTGCACGCTCCTCTCCTTCACGTACTGCATCTATACCCTGCACGCTCCTCTCCTGCACGTACTGCATCTATACCCTGCACTCTCCTCTCTTGCACGTACTGCATCTATACCCTGCACGCTCCTCTCCTGCACATAATGACCATTGTCACACCCTCCAACCTTCTGTCCCCCACAAACTGCCTCTGTCAAACCCTTCACACTCCTCTCCTGCATATGATGATGCTGTCATGCCCTCCACACTCTCTTGTACGTACTGCCTGTTGTTAAGCCACCACACTCCTCTCCTGTACATACGTTTCTTTCTTATACCTCCCCACTTCTCCCCTGCATATACTGCATGCTGTCATAACCTGCACACGCTTCTCTATTTCATACCCTTTGCAAGACTCTGCTGCACATACAGACTACTGTCCGCTAAAACAATTCTTTAAAATTTTTCACAATATCCCCAACTGTGCCTGTCCTGGCGTGGGCACATTTTTGCTAGCTATTAAAAAAATCATCATTAGAGTGCTAGTTCATAGAAAGACAGTAATATTTTCTGGATTTAAAACAGATCGTCCATATGTTATATTTTTGCTTCTTGGGCTGTTGCATGCTGAGAGTGTGGTCAGAAAATGAACTACGCAAAGCAGAATTGCATTTCCTAGGGGTCTGAAAACAGCTGGTGTACATTCAAATTGTTTCTGCTCTGGTATTATATCATTTACATATATATTAGTGAATGCTACACACTGCAGTGTTATTAAGGACAACTTATGTTTTTAACATAATTTTCCTTATGATTGCAGCATCAATGGAAGTCATTTCAATATACATAAAATATATTTTAATGATAAACATGAAAACAAATACAGTTTTGTCAAGATTCTGCAGTACTGAGAAACTCAGTGGAGCCATCCAATAAACAGAAAATCTTGCCACCTTGTATTCTTGCTGTTTGCTGACCATGAAAAATGGTATGGTTGGAGATCTTTGTGAATGACTATCTATCTATATATCACGTACTGTTGTGGTGCCAGAAATTAAAAAAAAAAATAACACCAACACTCATGTGCCTAAAAGAATCACAATGATTTTATGGCTGGTTCGTACTACATGAAGTCCATTGAATTTTTTTTCTGCACCAAAAACGCATAGAAAGTAGATTACATGGTTGTCATAGCATGGTTCACACCAGTGCTTGCTGTTCCAGTGCTTTCCAGTTGCAGAACAAAAAAAAAAAAAGTAGAAAATGCTACTACAAAACTGTACTGGAATGTGATAAAATGCATCAAAAATGCATCGGAATGCACTGCAGAAGCATCAAAAATGCACTGGAACACATAAAAAATGCATCAAAAACACACTGGACCCCAAATGACCCAAAGAAAGGAGGAAGAAAAGCACCTGGAACGCATCAAAAAGGCGCATGCAGAAACGCATCCTAACAGCGATTCTTTAGTGTGAACCAGCCCTTAAACGCTTTCCCGCAGCCCTATAGCAGAAATACTGTGTGTGTATGTATGTATATATGTATATGTATATATATATATTTGCATTTCCAGGTAGGGGGCGTGCACGCGCTGCTATTGGCAGCTATGGATGTCAATCACCAGGTCCTGGCCAGAGATTCCCTGGTGATCACTGTGTGGAACTGACGGGAGAGACCTGTGTCTCTCTACTGCCAACAAGTACATACTGCTGTGTATTTCTCTGCACAGCGGAGAAATACACAGCCACGTGTCTCCCTAGTAAAACACACACAGCACATCATGTAAACAAGCACACAGCACAAAGTTAACCCTTTGATCGTCCCATATGTTAACCCCTTCCTACCCAGTGTCATTAGTGCAGTGTCAATGCTTTTTATTAGCACTGATCACTGTATTGGTGTAACTGGGGATGTCAGTGGCAGTTCGTCAGTTCCCACTCAGTTTTGGAATGCCTGCCACAGTCCTGCTATAAGTCGCTAATCGCCTCCATTACTAGTATAAAATTAAAATTCCAGTATATATACACTGCAATTTGTAGACGCTATAACTTTCACATAAACAAATTATTTTACACGTATTGGGATTTTTTTTTTGAGCAAAGACATGTAACAGAATACATTTTGGCCTAAATTTATGAAGAAATTAGATTTTTTTTTAAAAAAATTTTTTACTGGATGTATTTTATAACAAAAAGTCCAAAATATTGTTTTTTTTAGAGTTGTCGGTCTTTTTTGTTTATAGCACAACAAAAAAAAAAAATGCACCGGTGATCAAATACCAACAAAAGAAAACACTTTTTGTGGGATTAAAAGGGCATAAATTTAATTTATGTACAGCGTTGCATAACCGCGCAATTGTCAGTTAAAGTAACACAGCGCCGTATCGCAAAAAATGGCCTGGTCAGGAAGGAGGGTAAATCATCTGGAGGGCAAGTGGTTAAAGAAGTCAAAACCCAGTGTACAGATGTTTAACTGCTTCTCAACCGTCCTATAGCAGACATACTGCTACTGGGCAGCACGGGTGTGCAAAATCATGTATATAAACGTAAATTTTGCATTTCCGGGTAGGGGGTGCAGGCACGCCCTATCCTCGCCGCCATTCGTGGCCGTGGCTGTCAATCACTGAGTCCCGGCAGGTGATTACTCGCCAGTGCCCGGTGATTCATGACCATCTCCGACAGGGAGGAGAACTGTATGTAAACAATACAGTCCTCCTCCCTGTCAGCTTCTGCACACTGCTTTGAGTGAAGCACAGGGACACAACACAGAGTAAAACACAGAGTTAACCCTTTGAATGCCTCATATGTTAACCCCTTCCTGAACAGTGTCATTAGTACAGTGTCAGTGCTTTTTTTTTAGCACTGATCACTGTATTGGTGTCACTGGGGATGTCAGTGACACCAAGTCAGTTGCCCCCAGTGTCAGAATGCCCACCGCAGTCCCGCTATAAGTCGCTGATTGCCGCCATTACTAGTAAAAATTCAAAAATAAATCCCAGTATATATTCTGCCATTTTTAAAGGCTATAACTTTCATGTAAACCAATTAATTTACACATATTGGGATTGTTTTAGCAGACATGTCGCAGAATACATTTTGGCCTAAATTTATGACAACAATTTGATTTACATTTTTTTACTGGACATGTTTAATAGCAAAAAGTCAAAAATATTGTCTTTTCTTCAAAATTGTCAGTCTTTTTTTTTTTTTCATAGCGCAAAAAATAAAAAATGCACAGGCGATCAAACCACAGAAAAAAAGCTCAATTCATGGGGAAAAAAGGATGTAAATTTAATTTGGGTGCAGTGTTGCATGACTGCGCAATTGTCAGTCAAAGTAACACAGCGCCATAATGCAAAAAATGGCCTGGTCAGGAAAGGGGGGTAAATCCTCAGGAGGGCAAGGGGGTAAACCAGGAGCAGGAAATCTTGGAGTGCTAGACATTAATTTAAGTCTGCTGAGACATCTAAAAATCTACCATGAGAAAAATAATGGATCCATTTTCCAACTCATTAATTGCGAGCAGGAGAGGTTAATGCTCGATTCACACTAGTGTTACTCCAAAGTCATGCAATTTCTGATGCGACTTTACACTCTCTGGCACAAAGCTGCATCCAAGTAGTGCAGGAGCCTTTTTAAAGTTGCTGCGACTTTTAAGTCACCTAGATAGGAACGGGTGCTATTGAAATCAATGGGCTGCAAATTGTCATGCAACTTTGTGTCCAAAGTCGCATGACAAGTTGCACTAGTTTGAATGGAGCCTAAAGACTTTTCAAGTTCTAGCAGAAACAAAAATATATACCTGTTAACAGTGATGTCAAGCAACTCCAAAGTTTAAGCTGCTTAAAAAGCCGCTTATTGTTTTATAGAGACACAAAGCTTAGCCTAGAAAATTAATTTGGACTTTAGAATCCCATTCAAATCAACTGATTTCTAAGACTGGATGACATTCTGATGAGCTGCAGCTCCAAGTAGTAAGAGTATCAGCAGTGTTGTAGTTGATTTGTGAGACCTCTATAGTGCAGGCTATTGGTTGATGCTACTTTCTACATGCAAGTAGAAAGATTTCAAAGGAAATATTATCATACAAAGGCATACACTTCTATTTCTAACATTTCAGTTGACCTTCCTGACATCTTTAGGCTCGGTTCACATTGCCGCGACTTGGGATCCAACTTGTGAGACCTCAAGTTGCATGATGTGAAATCCCGTGTTAGTCAATGAGAGCTGTCTTAATTAGCACTACTGAAATTGATGCGACTTTATAAAATGTTCCTGTACTACTTCAAGGCTACTTCTGTCCAACTTGTGTCCATAGACTTTAATAGAAGTTTCCTCCAAGTCGGATCCTCATCTATATTGATGTGATTTGAATCCGACATTACAGTAAGATTACCTAGGCATTCCCTGAAAGTGGCTTCAGCCCGGGTTCACACTAATGCTAGTGCAGCACATCGCATGTGATTCCCACAGGAACTGCACTGCATTCCTGTGCAAATCACATGCGGTTTCTGTGCGGTGCAATTTGAGCCATATGTTGTGTGGCTCAGATCGCACCAAAATCATGCAGGACCCTTTTTTTTGTCCGCATCAGAATTGGATCGCATGGGTGTGCATATCATCGCACTGTGCTTTGCAGACCGATTTTGGGGTGTTGTTAACTTAACATACACACCCACAGCAGTTCGCATGAACGGGGTGCAGTCATGATGCGGTGCGGACATCACACAGAAATTGGTGCAAATCCCACACGCATCAGTGCTAAGAGTTGCTGCAAAGTCGCTTAAGAGTTGCTTCAAAGTAGTACTCAAGTTGCTGCAACTTTCAGGTAGCAGTAGTGTGAACCGAGATTGAGTGAGAAACATGGCAATTAGTTGCATAAGAGGAATAAAGCAGATATCAGGCAAATATTAAAACCCAAAGAGTAGTATGTGCAATGCAGCGGCAAGGAGATATACAGTATATCAATTACAAGGCAAAAGCTGGTAACAGCAGGGAAGTCATTGAGAACAATTTGGTGGCTACAAGACTTTCACTAGATAGAAGGCAAGGGTCAGTAATAGCAAGACAGCTAGACTGTGAATATTGAGCAGGCGTGTAATGCATACCATAAATCAGTCAAGGGTTGCTGACAGCAGTACAAACAATACATTCATTTACATGCACCCCCTCCAAAAATAAAATATATAGCAATTAGAGGTCACTTGTGGATAAGAAAGTTGGGAAAGCAGCATCATGTATCATTTGTATGTTTTTCTACCCCTTTAGTTGCTCTTCAATGGTCTAACTGTTTTCTTAGTCCTCATGCACACAGGATGTTTTTACAGCTGCTGTTTTGGCGTTTTTTGTCTTCGACCAGTAAACTCCCTAACATGTTATCCTATGTGTCCATTCACACATAGGCTTTAATCAGCATTTTTTGGCTGGAACAAAACCCCCAGAACTAGTGGGTTTCTAGAGTTTTTTAGCTGTAAAAATGCTCTAACACCAAAAAACGTGGCAATCCACCTTTTTGGGGCTTTTTTTTGTTAGCGAATGCAAAAACACTAAAAAAGATGAAAAAATGTGCGTTTTTAACACGTTTTTACACATGGAAAGCAGGGAGCTGGCCAATCACCGTCATTTCCCGATAAGAGCTGTTGCAGGTGAGTTTTGCTCAGTCTTAAAGGGACAGCCCGAACCCTGGTACTGACAGTTTAATTTTTTTTTTGCATTTAATTTTTCTGTGCTTGTCTTCTCCATCTTCATTTTCAGCCACTTTCTATCTACTTGCATGTGCCCCAGCAGCAGCTGCAAGTCATTGCTCAGGATTAGACTTCCTGATACAGATACTGACAGAGCATGCATGCACAATGAGCTGCGGTTGTTTACTCTAGGTACACACTTGTGTGGATTTCAGTGCGTTTTCCAGTTTGCATACAGTCCATTTAACATTATTTCCTTTGGCTCTCGTTCAAAACTGCAATTTGAGCTGATGCATTTTTTGGAAAGGTTTTTTTCCCACAGCAGATTGCGTTTTGAGTGTAATAGACTTCAATGGACCCTCCCCAAAAATGCAAGAGTTGCGTTTTTGCAGCGTTTTGTGTTTTTTTTTTTTTTGCTAATAGAAAAGTAGGACAGTTCTGTTCAGGTAGTTTCCGATGCGACTTTAAACTCTCTGGGCACCTTAGTAGCAACAAAGTGGCATTAAAGTCGCATCAAAGTAGTGCAATAACTTTTATGTGACCAAAGTCTCATTTTAGGGTTAAAGCGAAGTTCCACCCAAAAGGGGAAGTTCCGCTTTAAAGATTGGTCCCCCGCTCCCAATTAAGGATTGGCACCTTTGGGGAGCAGGAGGGGGAATGGGCACCCAAATTTGACAGGTACCCGCTCACACTACTACCGCTGTGATCGCCTAGGCGATCGGAAATGGAAGTTGTCCTCCTACCCTCCATCCACGAAGTCTTGTGGGACACGTGACAGGTCCCAGAAGACGATGGGGCCATTAAGAAAGTGCAGCTCTACTCGTGCGTGTGCAGCGGGCACCCAGCTGTGAAGCCGCAAGTTGTCACAGCCGGGTGCCCACACTGAAGATGCTGGCGCCTGGAATACAGGACGACCGGTGAAACGGGCTGCGGCAGGGGGCAACACGGGATCATGGGACAGGTGAGTGGCTGTTTTTTAAAGGTCAGCAGCTACAGTTTTTGTAGCTGCTGACTTTTATTTTTTTTACAGAGTGAGTGGAACTCCGCTTTAACCACTTCCCGTCCAGCCCATGTACATAAACGGCCGGACAGGAGTAGTGCCAAAGTGGGTTGCCGTTTATAAACGTCCCCCCGCATTAACTGCCTGTGCGCGCTCCCTGGGAGCGAGTGGCACCGCGATCCAGTGCCCGATCTGTCCGAACACCGATCGCTGTATGGGACCTCTGTGTGAGGTCCCGATTCATGTGATCCCTGATTGGCCAATCAGTGATTACATGAATAGCAGTAAGCAAGATGTCACTTCCTGACATCATTGCTTACTATGTGTGAAATCTGACCAATCACAGCTCTCACAGTATTTCTCAATGGCTGCAAAAATGCAGCCAGAGAGGAGAGATGATTGCTTTTACAGCCTTTATGGGTGTGAAAGCAATCAGTGTAAAAAAAGAAAAAAAAATCTTCATCACCCCCCACAAGTAGTAGTATAGTGTCACTATGGTGAAACTGTACTGCTAGGAAGACAGTATGTTAAAAAAAAAAAACAAATAATATAATTAATTATAATTTTTGGTTATAAACTAATTTGGGTTATTTTTTTTTACTAAAAAGATAGCTGAATACATTTTGGCCAAGATTTATGAAGAAAGATTATTTATTTGCAAAATGTTATATGAAAACACTTTTTTTTTCAAAATGTTTGGACTTTTTCATTTATATAGCAAAAAAATAAAAATCCCAGTGGTGAATAAATACCACCAAATAAAGTTTTATCTGTCGCATAAAAATTCTAAAAAATTCATATGGGTACAGTGTTGCATGACCACGCAATTTTAATTCAAAGTGTGATAGCGCTGAAAGCTGATCTTTGGCCTGCACTGGAAGGGGGTAAAAGTTTCCGGACTTGAAGTGGTTAAGGGCTAGTGTTAGAGTTAAGGGCTAGTTTAGGTTAAGTTAGGGTTAGAGTTAGAGATAGAGTTAGGGTAAGTGTTAATTGTCAGGGATGAAACGCTAACCCTAACAACTACCGCTTACCCTAACCCTAGCCCTTAACCCTAACCCTAACATGCGACTTTGGTCCCATAAAGGTTCCTGCACTACTTTGATGTGACTTTAATGCTACTTGACTGCTTGTTCACCAGAAAAATGCATCCATCACAACCTGCATAGATGTGCACGTAGCATCTGCTGAAAGGGCATGTGATGGGGTGATAATGCACAGAAAATTGTTATCCCATAAGAGAAGGTTTCTGAGCAAAGGCCTTTAAGGAAGGATCAGTTTTTACTGAAAATTTTATAGTTTATGAAGGACTCTTGATATTTTGGAACATATGAAATGTTAGTGACTGGGTCTAGATCTTCTCTAACCAC